AATAGGCTTCAGTCATTCCCCCAAATAGTCCAGAAGCCTTCTTTTGTCTCACCCACCTATGAACTTCATTCCTCACAGACGGGGCAGACAGGGAGACAGAGTAGATGAGAAAAGAAGGAAGTGAAGATGAGAGAAAAAGACAGAGTGAGGAGAAAACAAGAGAAAGAAGCCATGGAGAAGAGGGACTACAAGCTGGGGAGGGAGAAAGGATCTGGAAGCAGCAGGCCTACCTTGGGCGTCATGTCATGGGTGATACAGAATTCCAGGTGCTGCAGGATGCTCTCCATGGTGTGGTAAGGCTGCTGCTTGGTGGTCCGAAGGTACTTCTGCATGGCACGGGCCATGGATGCAAAGATGGCTTGGGCTGCCTCCCGGGGGTCCATCACCTCCCTGGGGTTCTTCTGTTCCTCCTCCTGCAGCCGCTTGATATGAGTGAAGGCCTCCTCCACGGCCACCACGAGCCTAGGGGACAGGAGGAGTCTGGACCAGATGCCCACCTTTCATCTCCAAGCCCCACTCATTGGCTCTGACTACTGCAGCCAGAGCGAAGTCAAGCCTTTGTGCTCTCCCGGAAATAACAGAAGCCCACTTGGAGCCAAGGACTGGGCTTCTAGGGGAGTAGGGGTTAAGGGGTAGAAGGGGGTACTTTCCCTCACAGACAACAAAAAACTGCTATAGAACTCAGTGGACCCAGACCAGGGACTTAAGAGTGAATAAGTCTAGTATCCGGAAAGACTGTTAGGAACTATGCTATAAGAAAGACCAAACATCCTATCAGACCCTAGGGAAAGACTCCATACCACACTATAGCATGTCAAAATAAATAAACATGACAGCGTGAAAATAGCATTTTTATATCAGCCATAATAGCACAGGCTATGCTGACATTTGACAGGGTAAGGGGGATAGATGCAGCATCTAAAATCAACAAAGGATTAATACCAGAATACACAAAGAATCTGCTATAAATCAAGAAGAAAAATGCAAGAATCTTTATAAAAATTAGTAAAAAGAACCAGGCATATGCCTGTGATCCAAACATTCAGGAGTCAGAGGCAGAATCAACATGTTTGAGGCCAGCCTGGTCTATACAGTGAGATCCTGTCTCAAAAATCTAAGTAAATAAAATAAAAAGGAGCCAAGGAGATAAACAATTCACACAAGGCCTAAAAGTCACTAGCCAAGTTGGGATAGGAGTTAAAACATTAAGATACTTCCCCATCAAAATGATGACTATAATCCAACACTGGATAGGATGTTAGGAGAATGAACTACTGTGTAACTTGCCTTGTTGCTATGCAACAAGCTGGACATAAAGACCACATGGATGGCTCTCAAAGCACAGTGTTAAGCAGGAAGCAGAAAAAGTCAATTTACACTAACAGCACATAGCCACACAAATCAACACTTAATTTGTACAAAGACATAAACACATTTTAAGGAAATCAAACACATTGAAGAAGGTGCTTAAAATGTGGGTGGGGTGAAAGTAAAGATCCAGAAAGGACTAGAAAGAAACTATGATGTAGATGTGTTAAGAACTAAGGAGTGTAAGGAATGTTTTGCACTCAAAGTCTTAAAACTAAAATAAAGCCCACCTGGCCTAAGAGCAGAATTGGTCTGAGGTGACAGGACAAGAAAGGATATAAGGCCTATAGCCAGTATCCAGACATCCCAGGACGGGGACCCTTCAATGAGCTTATTTGAGATAGGTCTCTGGACTAAGTATGTATGATCTAGGTCTACAATTTCTGCTCATTCTGCTTCACTAAAATTTTTTTAGAAAAGTTGTTTTTGAAAAGATCTTTTCATCTCAGGGGAACCAAAGGAAAAAGTTTCCTATCATCTACAAGCACAGCAATGTGGGAAGGAAAGAGGCCCCTGTGTATCAAGAGTCACAGTGGCCACCCATGCTGCAATGTCACAGAATTGGGGCTGGCAACCTTTGTTCTCCAGGGGATACCAAGATGGGGCTGTCTTCCTCCCTTGAAGCTTGGAGATGGTGTGGAAGAGGGGTGGAGAGCAGGGCAGGTAGCCTAGTCCCAGACCCTCCTTCTCTCTGGTGAAATCCTACAGACCCAGGTAGAACCTGGCCACAGCAGGCATTAAAAATGACTCTTCACACATGACCTAAGTTCTTAAGATAAAGGAAGAGTGAGGACAGCATTTGAGAATTTACCAAAATAGAAAAAGCAGGTGTGGTGGCACATGCCTATAATTCTAGCACTTGGAAGGCTGAGGCAGGAAATCATCATGAGTTTGAGGCCTGGCTGGACTACATAGTGAGACCCTATCAGAAAAAAACACCTGCTGAGCAAGTGTGTAGAATCCATTGGATGGAAGTCTAGTCTAGTCTAGTCTAGCCTCGATCCCTGCTGTTACAGACAAGGCTAATACACCTGTATGAGTCCTTACCATACTGTAGTGGGCAGAATTCAGAGATGCCCCCACCTCTACCAGACTCCAATCCCTTGTTATTTAATAGCTTTGGTACATATTACAAATGTAATTCAACTGCCACATTACTTGACCTTATAATAACAAAACTGGGCTGGGGTGACAGCTTAGGCAGTAAAGTACTTCCCTTATACATGAGGACCTGAGTTTGATCCCGTAGAACTCACATTTAAAAAAAAAAAAAAAAAAAAAAAGTCACCAATGTGGCCTGTGCTGGTAATTGCAACACTCAGGAGGTGGAGACAGGCAGATCCTTGGAGCTTGCTCACCAGCCTAGCCTACTTGGTGAGCTGTAGACCAATGAGAGACAAACTCAAAAGTGGAGGGCTAAAGAGATAGCTCAGTGGTTAAGAGCACTGACTGCTCTTGCAGAGGACCCAGGTTTGGTTCCCAGCATCCACACTGTGGCTAACACCCCTATGTAACTCCAGTTCCAGGGGAATCCAATGCCCTCTTCTGACCTCCGTGGGTACCACACAACACGGGTACCACTTATATACATACATGTAGGCAATACACTCACACACATAAAATAAAAGTAAACAAAATATTTTTTAAAACAAGGTGGACGACACCTGAGGAACAGCAGCTGAGGCCATCCTCTGGCTGCCACATGCATGCACACACATGAACATGCACACACAAAAATAATAAAAATAACAATAACAAATAATTATCTTGTTGGACCTGAAAAACAGAATCGTCTCTGATAGATGGCAAAATTCAGAGAGAGATGGCTCTTGTTAGAAAAAGCCACCTCTTGTGCTGGAACCTGTCTATGGGGTTGCATGACAGGAAGTGATTCTGTCAGAAGCCAGAGAGGGAACTTTGAAGAAAAGCTCAGGTTTAGGTGAGAGTTGCACTGACTTTAGCCTTGGAGGCCCAAGCAGATGGCCCAGCAAGCCTGAACCTGAACCATGGAATGGAGAGATAATAAATGTATTGTTTTACAACTGCTAAGTCTGTGGTAATCAGTTATGGAAGCAAAAATGAATGCACACACCCTAAATCATCACTGCTCTGTTTTCAGCAGGGATGGGAACCTCTTGGGCCTCCTTTCCCCAACTCATCCCACAAGCACACCACCCCTCACCATACTGACCCTTCCCCTCCCTCAGGAATTCACCTGGCTCTGTGCTTACACACCCTGAACCCACCTAGCCCTGCGCTTCCGCACTCTGCGTTCGTGCTCAGCCTCCTCATAGTAGTATTCGTTGTGGCTATTGTCCCGCCGCCTGGCCGCTGCTGCAATCACAGCCCGAGACTGGCCTGTGGAGTTATTGGTGCTGTTTTCTGCATAGGATCAGAACAGAAGGGATGGTCACATCAGAGTGTGGCCTCTCTTCCCTCTCTAGGAGCTCTGGGAACAGAGCCTGACACATTCAAAGGATGCGTTCCCACCGCCCAGCAATACCTCCCAGTCCCAGCCCTCCTGGCCACCTCTGGGAGAGACTGCAGGAAAGCAACCAGGAAGGCATTGGAAGGGTGGTGGAAGTCCTGCATACATGCCTCCTGATTTGGGAGGTTCTGCAGCTCAGGGCCACAGGGCAGAGACCAGGGTTGTGAGCAGACACAGAGGAGCTAAACCAGGGGATACACCGTAGCATAAAGGGCCAGCAGGTAAGATCAGCAGCTAAGACCAGCCACCTGAAGTCAAGGGAAATGACAGAACAAAGGGGCTAGGACACAGGCCAGAGAAAGGAAAAAGCAAGGAAGAAGGATGAAAGTCAGGAAATAGCTTGGAATCCTGCTTGGGAAGAGGCCGGGAGGGGTGGAGGAGCAGGGCCGCTCACCCTCTCCGAGAGAATACACCTTGAAGCCAGACACTTTCTTGGCCAGGACGGACTTGGGCAGGTTGAGGAGGGCGGGGTTGTAGACAGGGAAGTCATGGTAATACTTCTCCAGGATCCACACTGCCACTCGCTGGATGCTGTTGGGGAGACGGCAGGAGGGGAAGGGAAAAGGGACAGACAAGGGGCGCAGGGGAAGGGACACATCAGGGCAGGTCAGCAGGACTGGAGAGGACACACGACAGGGACAAGCTGCTTCCAGGAAGCCTATCTTAAACCTGAGGTCTACTTACCAGGCTCCCAACCTTTCCCAGGGCTGGGTCTACTAGTCCTTCCTTGCTATTCTGAAGCCAGGGGGAAAAGGGCCCCAGTCAAGGGGTCTCTTCATCCCACTACAACATCTCCCAAGGTTCTTTTTATTATTATTATTTATTTATTTTTATTGTATATGTATGCATGTGTTCACCTGCATATATTTAAGTGCACCCATGCAGCAATGCCCACGGAGGCCAGAAGAGGACGTTGCTCCCCTGGAAATGGAGCTACAGAAAGTTGTGATCCACCATGTGGGTGCTGGGAACCAAACCTGGGTCCCCTGCAAAAGCAGCCAGTGCTCTTAACCACCGAGCCATCTCTCTAGCCTCTCTCCCAAAGTTCTTGACAAGACCTGGGAGGTACCACTGATACTCACAGCCTAGGGAAAGGAGGAGGAACATCCTGCCTCCAAGCAGGCCAGCTGCCTCCTCTGGCCAGCTCATTTCACTGACACTCACTAACTACACAAGAAGCTGTACCTCTAAGAAAAGGCTAGAAAATCCCCTGTGCATGCCCTATATCCCTCCCTGCTTTGGTTCATCCTTCTCTGAGATTCCTGGTTTTTCACTGCCTATCAGCTCAAAACACCCACTGGCATCTTGCTCAAAACCTGACATTAGGCCACACTCTTACTATGAACAGCAAAGTACTCAACTCAAACTCCTTCCCACCCATCCCCGCCCAGCCATCACCTCTAGTCCTCACCATCACCACCCCCCAAACACATTCCCTGTCCAATTCTTCTCCTACACAAGCCCCACCTTCTTCTCCCAGCACCCGTACCTGAGATGGCCAACGTTGTAGAAGCGGCTGGCCCCATCAGTGGAGCGCACGACCTTGAGTGTGAACTGGGGCTGGAGCTGACGCAGCTCCAGGAGGACCACAGCCAGGTAATGCACGAAGAGCAGGGCATCTACCAGTGACACGGCAAACTGCACCACACCCTGGTAGCTGCGCTCCCGGGCATCCAGGATTCGCACGCCATAAAAAAGCCAGTAGGAGACCACGAGCAAAAAGACCAGCACCATGAGCAGGGCACGGAGAACAAAGACACGGGGCAGCGAGGCCTTGGGCCGGCGGAAGAACAGAGCCCAGCTGCCCAATAGCAGAATGAGCAGCTTGAAGGCCACAGAGATGAAGAGGCCCTCGCAGGCCGTCCCACAAGGCTCCAGCTCCTCCCGCCACAGCAGTGGGGGCAGCAGCAGGAAGGCCAGCGGTGTGAGAAAAGACAGCAGGGCCAGGGTGGCCCCTGCTGCCACGCCCAGGTGACGAGAGCAGTCCAGTGGCACACTGTCCTCCATGTCCTTGGCGATGCGTGTGAGGTCATCATGAGAGATGCTGTGCTCAGAAGTGCCTGTGACGACGGTTGTTGTTTCACCCCAGTTGTCATCCTACAGTCAAGAAGGAGATGAAGAGGAAAGGATAAAGGAGAGCAGAGAAAACAGAGGAGCAAATGGGAAAGGACATGGAAGAAAGGGGCGGAATCAACAAACATGCAATCATCGAAGAATTTACTGAGCTCCACTGTGTACCTGTACCTGTCTTGCCTCAAGATACTGACATCTAAAACCTGGGCCCTTGGGGAGCTGCCCATAATCAAAGAGGAAAACACCCCCCCCACAGCAATAACCCTTAGAAAAGAGAACATAAGACAATTGCCAAGGGAGTTACTCAGTCAGTGACAACAACCTAAGGGGCAGGCCTGTCAGGCAAAACGGCCAGCTTCCAGAGAGTGATGGGACATGAGCTGACCCCTGGCAACGGGTGACATGCAAAAGCTCAACTGAATGAGTGGTTCCTAGTCCCAGCTGCACACATTAGAATCACCCTAGGGAGCTTGGAAAATATACCAATTATGCAGAGTGAGATCTGCTTGTCAACCTTTTTTTTAAAAAAGAGCTCCCAAGATGATTCTAATGTTCAGCCAAGATGGGGACTCGCTGAACTAAATGATCTCTAAGGACTGCAACTCCAAAATGTGCTCTGTGGACCAGCAGTATGGAAATCACCCGGGAGCACGTTAGAAATGCAGAACTGCCGGCCCATCCCATGGGTATTAAACTAGATCTACGTGAATCCTTCAAACATTCAAGTTCTAGAGATACTATCCTAAGTTCCTCTAAGTCTTTGCAGCATTCTGTGATTTCAACAGAAGCCAGAGAGAGACACTGGGGCAGAGATTAATGGAACAAGGCACCCTGAGGTTGGAGAGATCTGGGGATCCAAGTACAGGGGCAAAAAGCAGAGTGGCCAGGAAGGAAAGGGCAAGAGCCACTTGTGTGGGCCATGCTGCAATGCCAGGCTAAGGAATAGGCATCTACCCTAGCCAGGTGAGGTGGTATATGCCTGTGATCTCAGCAAAGGAAAGCTGAAGCAGGAGGGTCACTGTGAGTTCAAGATTAGCCTGGGCTACAGTTCAAGACCCTGCCCTGTCTCAAAAAACAAACAAAATGCCAGGTGTAGTGGTGTGTGCCTATAATCCAAACATTTGGGAAGTAGAGGCAGGAAGATCAGAAGTTCAGGTCATCCTCAGTTACATTAGTAAGTTCAAGGCCAATCTGGGCTACATAAGACCCTATCTTAAAAAAAAGAAGACATTATTACTGTCTGGCATCACTTGAGGTGTGGTTCAATAATTAATATTGGTCTAGTTTGACATCCTCATTCTAAATCAGAAAATTTTGTTTTGTTTTATTGAGACAGACATGGTCTAAAAATCATCGGTCCTCCAAGCATGAGGGAGAAGAGCAGACACAGGGATGGGAGGGGTGGATAAATGATAGGGGAAAAGTGCAGACTCAGAGTCACTGTGAGTCTCTGTAAAGCCAGATCTACTGGGGGTGGGGTGCATCTAAATGGCCATAGCACAGGGGGCTGGCTGGCTGAGGTCCCCAGATGCCCTTCAGAGTGTGATCTGCTCAAGCTATTTCTGCCGTGGCTGGAGGCTACCCTACAGAGAAGCTCCAAGACCACTGGGACTTTCAGTGCCTACGAATCACTCCCAGAACATCCGGGACATACAGATTCGACACCTGGAGGATTCAGGCTACAGGACTGAGACACACAGGGGTAGAGTAGGAAGCAGCCTGGCAGGGCCAATGACTAAGGAGCTGAGGAATCCCCTCTCCCAAAGACAGTAGAAGAATCTATCTGAATATAGAAATAGGTGCACTGGCCACTGGCCACTCCAGGGCTGGGGCAACCCCCTCATCCTATGACCCACCCCCAGATATACTATCCTTTCAAGGATCAATGCCTTGGGAACCCCAGCCCAACAACAGGTGAGCTAACCATGTCTCCAGATCACTTCAAACACCCAGGAGGCCAGGTCCCACGGAGAAGTGTCAGGGAAAAAAGGGAGAATGTCTTGGGTAGGGTTCTGCTCCTGACACTCAGGAACTCCCAGTGTCATACACAGATTGCTTTCTGAGGAATGAAGCACTAAGGGTCCCCTTTCCTTAAGATACTCCCAAGAAGAAAGAACAGGAAGAATGAGACATGGGCAATCTCAGGGTCACCTCAAATCTTGTCCCTCCTGGATTCCAAGGCTGTGTTCTACTCTACCAGAAGCCACCTGCTCACCTTGTCCTGGAGAATCTTTTCCAGGGTGCCCCTTTTATCTGCCAACCTCACTTTTTTCCCTAGCTCTCCATCCACCCACAGCTTTCCCCTAGGACCTAGGTGATCTAGTTCCAGAAGCTAACAGCAGAGGGCACTCAAGTGCACACACCTAAGACTCAGCTGGAAACCTGGTTGCCCACACCCACAGACCCCACCACCACCACTGTGGCCCTCCTACTCCAGACTGCTCCAGTCCGACTGCTGGCTTAGAGGCAGAGGAAGCACAGACAGTTCCCACTACTCAGCCTGACCATCTCTGCCTCTTGAGATAAGAAAGCATTCACTGCCGGCCTCCAAAGGGTCTCCACCATAATTCCCTGAATTCCACTGCAACAAGGTCCCACCTTGGGACCCTAAACAGAGGGACACATAAAAACAAGGTATCCCCCCTGTCAGGTGTGGCACTGTAACACCTGTAATCCCAACACTTGGAGGCAGAGACACAAAGATCTCAAGTTTGGGGGGGGGCGGGTTAATTATTATTTTTATTTTATTTTATGTGTGTGCGTGTATTTCACCCATGTCCTGCAATGCCTGAGGACAGAAGAGACTGTCGGATCCCCCTGGAACTGGAGTTACAGACAGTTGTTAGCTGCCATGGGTGCTAGGATTCGAACCCAGGTCTTCTGCAAGAAGTGTTCTTAATCACTGAGCCATCTCTCCAGCCCCAAAGAGCTCAAGTTTTAAGAATAGCCTAGGCTGGTCTTATGAATGCAAGGGCTATCCTGGGTTTACATAAGGAGACCCCTATGCAAGAAACAAACAAAAAAGCCAAAATATGCCGGGTGTGGTGGCACACGTCTTTAATCCCAGCACTCCGGAGGCAGAGGCAGGTGGATCTCTCAAGCTGTTTCTGCAGTGGCTGGAGTTCAAGGTCAGCCTGGTCTACATAGGGAGTTCCAGGCCAGCTGGGGCTACAGGGAGACCCTGTCTCAAAAAGACACACACACACATTTATATATATATATTCCCAGATCCTGTACCTGTTCTAAGAGACCAGATTTCCCAGCCCTTCCCTTGCCTGATAGAGCCTTCAGCCTCTCCAAATGATCCCAAAATGTCTGATCTGGACCACTTTATCCCTGATGCTCACCCGCTCATCCCCCCGCGTGGACTCATTGTCCAGCAGGGGCTCTCCTGGGGCCTGGATTGTCACCGACTTATCTCCACGGCTCCCATCTCTGCTCTTAGAGCGGTGTCGGTCCCGGCGTTCCCTGTAGCAGAAAGCCAGAGAAACAAGAACTAAAGGTCAAAGTCTTTTCAGCATCCCTCCACCACACTACCCCAGCATACACCAACCTCTCTACCAGCCCAATTTCCCCTCTGCCACCTGTCCCCTGCCCACCTGTGCTTTCGGGAGCTACGGGAGTGGCCCGACTTGTAGGAATAGCCCGAGTACTGGGACTCGGTATCCATGGCGTCTGAACGCCGTGCCTTGTAGCGCTCCAGGGCCGCGAGCTGGGGCCTCTTGGGGGGCCCCACAGCCACCTCCTTCAGCACAGGCTTCTTCAGGCCAAGAGGCACCTTTAGGAAGTCAACTGTCACCCTGAGGGACTCTATTTTGCTGGACGAGTAGGCTTATCTCAGAGAAATTCCAGCGACGCTCCCTGAGGAGAGGAAGCAGCTAGTTAGGGGGGAGCTTGGGCTTCCCATGGGTCAGGAAAGAAAAACCATCCCCAAACGCCACAGGAAACAAGTGAGCCCAGCCACTGCCTGAAAATACCTCATTCTGGTTCCTGCTCTATCCAATGGCTCAGCTCCTCCTGCCCAGCCAGCTAGAAAGACCCTCCCACCCACAATGAGCCCAGGACTCAGAGCTCGGGAAGATGGCTCCCAGGGCAGGAAGGCCACCCAGAATGATCCCACCAGGACACCCCATTGGGGAGGATCAAGGCAGTGCTTTCCTGATAGGCAGGCAGCCTCTTTCATCCACACTGCAGGTCTAACAGAGGATGGTATCTCCTCCCCTCTTTCCCAAGTGCCAACCATCATCGTTCAGAGCCCAGTACCTCCAGTCACAGGGGCCCCAACTACTCCAGCACCCAATGTCATCTTCTCCACTGACCCAGTCAGTCTCTACTAACAGTCATCACCATGAACTGAGCAAGCAAACCTCTCTAACACACCTTCTTTAAACCATATACTTTGCTATACCTGGGTATTGTGGTGTAACGGAACCTAAGTATATGGTCTGGGGGGAGACGCACAAATAAGCAAGCAAATGCAAGCAACTGCGTTAGCCTAGTGGAAGAAAAAGAACAAGGAACTACAAGGACAACTACACAGGGCTCTTCGGGGTTGGAAAAGTCGTTTATTGGTTTTTCTGTATTGAGGGTTGAACCTAGGAACACGTGTGTTAAGCAATTGCCCTACCACTGAGCTAGCTATATCCCCAGTCCCATGGAGATAGTTTGAGTGAAAAGTCTGAGAAAATAACACAAGCGGAGGCCCAAGGAAGGAAGCAACGGCCCACAGCAGAGAGGAATGACACCACACTGGGGAGATGGTGTCAAGAAAGGGCTCTGCGTGTTTGAAGAACAAAAGAGTCATGCCACAGCTGAGGACAAGGCCAGCTGAAGAGTTCAGGTTTTACTCGAAGGCATCAGAAAGCTTATTTTAGCTGTGCAGATATGGATGTGGAAAAAGGGAATGCAGAAATCGAGAGATCAGTGAGGAGGCCCTACAGCAGTAAAGATGAGGCTCACAGGACCAACGGAAGGGTGAGAAATGGATGCCCAGAGCCAATTAGACCCGATGAAGGGCTGGTTGAGGGGATGGAGAGCATCAAGTACACCTAGCCAAGCACACAAAATAAATAAAGAAAATGCAATAAAAATTTAAATAAAAAAAGAGACATGGGTCTAGAGAGATGGTTCAGTTGTGAAGAGCACTGGTTCCTCTTCCAGAGGACCCAAGTTCGGTTCCTAGCGCCCACATGGTGGCTAACCGCCGTCTGTAACTCCAGTTCCAGGGGATCCAACACCCTCTTCTGACCTCCATGGGCACTGCATGACACAGGTGCACTTACACACATGCAGGCAATACACTCATACACATAAAATAATAGTACATTAAATTTAAAAAAAAAAAAAAAAAAAAAAAAAACAGCCAGAGCAAGAGAGAAATAAGAAAGCAAAGAACTGGGAGGAGCACATTTGGGGAGGAATAAGTTTACGGAGGAGCATTTGGGTGAGGACTATGAAGTCCACTCCCTACTCGCTCACCTACCTGCCTATGGTCACACAACTCATTGGTGGGAGAATTGGGTGTTAAAGCCAGATCTTTGAATGCAAATCCCAGGTTCTTTCTGGGCAGCTGGGCATCCAAGGAGCTGGACTCAGGAGTGTCTGAGTTGTCGATATGAATGACAGACAGAGCCTCTGTGTTAAACGGAGGAGAGGACAATATAAGGGACCCAAGAACCCTGAAATGTTCATGTCTTGAGGAAAAAAGAGCAAGCAAAAGAGGCTAAGAAGGCAAGACCAGACGAGGCCAGGAGACCTTAGTCCCAAGGCAGTCAAAACAAGGCAAATGGACTTCCAGGGAGGACTCAACACAACCAGGCCTGATGCTGCTGACAAGTCCGTTATGTTAACACTGAAATACACTTGCTTTGTATAGATACCTTTCCTCCAACTACTCTAAACCACTAACAATTAAAGAACAAGCAGGACTCGTGACACATATTTGTTTGCATCTGGGCTGGATAGCGTTAGTTGTCGACTTGACACACCTGGGTTAAGAAAGCCTCAGCTGGGGAAATACCTCTGTTGGACTGGCCTGTGGCCATGTCTCTGGGACGTTTTCTTGATTATTGAGTGATGTGGGAGGGCCCAGTCCACTGTTGGTGGTGTCACCCCTGGGCAAGTTGTTCTATATTGTATAAGAAAGCAGACTGAGCATGGGCCAGGGGAGCAAGCCAGTAAGCAACATTCCTCCATGGCCTGTGTTCCAGCTCCTGCTTCCAGGTTCCTGTCCTGAGTTCCTATCTTGGGCTCCCTGATGAACTGTGACCCAGATGATGTAAGCCAAATAAACCCTTTCCTCCCCAAGTTGGTATTGGTCAGAGTGTTTTGTCACAACAATCGAAAGCAGACTAGAACAGCACATACACACACACACACACACACACACACACACACACATACATACACCCGCCTTCTGTGGGCACAGGGCAAGTAACTGATACCCACCTAGTAAATGAATACACTTGTCTGTAAGGGAAACTGCCACTGAAGGGAGATAAAATCTATGTGAAATTCATTCATTTATCCTTATAACAGAGTCATCTGGAGGCAATCCATGAGCCAGTGATATCAGCATGCCCATGTGATAGCAAAAGCAAGTATGTTATAGGGACATATTTAAGGGACAGATATAAATCCTTCAGCCCAACCCTGAACCTCTCTAAAACTCTTTGCCACAAATAGGGCCCACATCCACCCCTCTGTCTGCAAATTACAAGCTAGGCTCCTCTACCCCGCTCTTGAGAACCCATTCTACTGGTCTATTCCTCCATATGGTTTAGATGTCTCCACAGCACACTTTTGATGTGGTTCTCCCTTATTCTTTTTAGTCCTCCTCTTAAAAACTGAACTGTGTCAGGATGCTCAGACACAAGTGGATTAAAGAATGAGGGGGTGGTAAAGCAGAAAGGCAAAGGAGTGCCATGGATTAGAGTTCAGACAGACACCAGTGCCCTCTTTCTCTATCGCCTCATCCTCACCCTGAATAGCTGCATCTGCCAACAGCAAGAGCCTGGCTGGGCCTTGCACTCAAAGATCTGGCTTTAAAACCTAATTCTCCCACTGATGAGTTATGTGATCATAGACAGGTGACTGACCCTTTTGTGCTTACGGCCTGGTAAAACAAGAAGTGATGATACCGCCTCCATGGGGTTGCTGTGAGGATCACGGGCATGAAAGAAGCACTTTCATAAAATGCACAGCTACTAATCAGTTAAGCAATTAATAAGCTCTCAAACTCCAGTCCCTAGCCACTTCCTCTGAAATTAGGGAAGGTAGTATAAATAAATCGTGCTGTTTGTACGACTAAATAAAGAACTCACACACACACACACACACACACACACACACACAACATCCCAACAGAACCCACTACTTCAAAAACTCCCAGATGTAAAGTGAAGCCAGTGTTTCCCCTACATATAAAATTTCAAACCATACTGGGTGCCAGTCACCTCCCAACTCTTTGTTCTGAGCTGTTCAGCCTGGAGCCCCCAACTTTCCTCCCCACTCCACAAACACAAGTCAACTTCAAAAACTCCCAGATGTAAAGTGAAGCCAGTGTTTCCCCTACATATAAAATTTCAAACCATACTGGGTGCCAGTCACCTCCCAACTCTTTGTTCTGAGCTGTTCAGCCTGGAGCCCCCAACTTTCCTCCCCACTCCACAAACACAAGTCAGGGTGCCCAAATGCAATAAAACAGGATCCTCCTTCAGCTACCAAACACATGGGGTACACAAAAAGCACCAGCTTCTGAAGCCCTTGCCTACTATCCCTTTAGGTACCCAAGGGAATTAATCCTGGCATTGGGAAGGGCTGAAAGGTGAGCAAAGAGATGAGCACTTCTCCCTTACTTAAATCAGTCTCAAGAATCATGTTTGGAGGGTCTCCCGGGTGGGCAGCGTTCCCAGGGAGAGGGTGGGGGAGGGGATCACTGGATGAGATCAACAAGTAGAAATGTCAAAGCGGTGACTGGAGAAGGCCGTACTTGGCGCGGCGCAGAGCACCGGGCTGAGGGTGGGAGGGTGGGAGGTTGTAAAGAGGGAATCTGCCCCACTGTTTTTCACCTCTCCCCGACTTCCCATGACTCAAACACACACACTCAGTCCCCTGCTCAAACCAGTCATGGATTTTCTGGGGTTAAAAGGAGGCCAGAAAGGAAAGGGGGAGAGAAGAGCAAGCCCAGCACAAAAAGGAGACCCTTCTCCCCTCCAAAGGCCTTTCAGAAATAAAATTAATGGAATGTCTCAGTATCATCCCAAGGGGATTGGCGGGGAGGACTGGGGGGAATGTGGGGGCTTTTGTCCCGGCTGCCCAGCTTCTCCCACATTGATCACCATAGCAACCAAAGCCCCCTGTTGCCTAGGTGATGGCAGCCGGGTCCTGGAACCCATACCCAGAATCCAAAGCGAGAAAGGTTATAGAGGTGGGGGAACAGGGACAGAGGAGTAAAGAATGGGGCTTCTCCTCTGGCAGCCCCAGCTTTTGTCTGAGCTCCAGATTGAGTTTCTTCAGGAAACAATTGGAGGCCTCTGGAAAAAAATACACTGCAAACCTGGCAAGAGGCAGAGGGAGCAAGGCCCTGGAGTATGTGGGTGTGTGTAGGGGTTGGGTGGGGGCAAATACAGACTATGGTCAACTTCCCATTCCCCACTCAGAGGACAAGCTCAAATGGACAAATGCTGAATACACACATGGGTACCCCACATGTAGCCTGTGGTGAAGACAATGACCAGGCAGAGGCACCTGTGGTCAGCACAGAGCTCTAGCCCTGCAGTGCAGTTTGGGTCTTTAGGCCTGGTGTGGGGACATGAGGCAGAACCTGGTGAGGAGGAGGCTGGGAAGAAGCACTGTAGAAG